ATGCTCAAGTCACTTCCCAGGCCATGCCCTGACACTGATCCCCACAGCCTGTTAAGTTTACAACGCACAAGGCGATGATCTGTTTGACATTCTGCACTAGGCATCACTCGGGTATGACGAACATCGCGAACATTTCTCTGTCGCACCAAAACATAGTCAATGAGGTGCCAATGCTTGGATCGAGGATGCATCCAGGTTGTCTTCTATCTATATTATATTATCTAATACTATCTGTATTAGGGGGGTCTTTTCCAAATGAGTCTGGGGGCGTCCTTCATCCTCCTCCTCCTCAATCTCTCCCTCAAGCGACCTTGGAGGACAATTAGCCAATCAAAGAACACCAGTAAAACAGTTTATACAAGAAGCTCTCTCTCCAAGGACAAGGTACCCGTCTATCAGTGCTTGTTTTCTCAAAACTTGGCAGGGAAAGAACAAAACTTTTCCAGTTGTCTGGGCCAAACACAGACCAAAAGTATCAGCATACATTCACCCTGATACACATGGCAACCACCATACATTCCCATTGCAATGGTCGGTTACCATGGCAACCATCACACATTCCCTTTGCTATGATCGGTTACCATGGCAACCATCATACATTCCCATTGCTACGGTCAGTTACCATGGCAACCATCATAGATTCCTGTTTCTATGGTCAGATACCATGGCAACCATCACACTTCCAAATGGTACAGTTGGTTACTATGGCAACCATCATACATTCCCGTTGCTGCAGTCAGTTACCATGGTAACCATCATAGTCTTATTGCTATGATCGGTTACCATGGCAACCATCACACATTCCCATTGCTTCGGTCAGTTACCATGGAAACCATCATACATTCCTGTTGCTACAGTCAGTTACCATGGCAACCATCATACAGTCCTGTTTCCATGGACAGTTACCATGGCAACCATCATACGTTCCCAATGCTACGGTTTGTTACCATTATACAGTCCCATTGTTATGGTCAGTTACCATGGCAATCATCATGCATTCCTAACTCTATGGTCAGTTACTATGGCAACCGCTTCGTTCCTCTTGGAGACAAGCAGATGTAGATGACTTGGGGCTGCAACTCCTCCTGTCTGTGCCCCACACGCAGGGCATTGGGGCCTGTCTGGCTGCAGCCCCTCAGCGGGGGCACCGCGGGTAAGAACAGACTTGCAGTGGGGAAAGCTGCTCTGAAAGCCCCGAGAGCTGGGGTGTGCAGAGGCTTTGCTGACAATGGCCTTGGGGGTGGACGTGCTGGGACTCAGGCCCAGGGGGAAAATCACAGGCCTGATCCCTGAGGAGATCAGCACATGCTGCTGAAATGCTGGGGGAGAGAGAGCCAGCAGAGGGAGGAAACAAGTGTGGACAGCCTGGGCTGATGTGCTTTGGACTCGAGCCTGGCCCGGCCTTGGCTGGGCAGAGAAGGGACAGCCTTTGTGTCCCTGCAAGACTGGGATTCACTCACTGCCCCAAAGGCACCCAATGTGTCTGAGGAGCCCTGGGTGGTGCCTGTCACACAACTGCTGGGAATGGGGACGGGCTTCCTGCACAGGCCCTGTGGTGTCCATGGCAGCTGCTGCACTTGTGCTGCAGAGCCCTGGCACCTCCCCTGGCACTACAGGCCCCTCTTTGGCTCTTCAGTCCAGGCTCAGCTGCCCTGAATTAGGTTCAGCAATGAAGGGATGTCCAGGAGACAACTGCCATTGTACTCCGAGCACATGTAGAAAATGCTCTGATAAAGAACAGGAGAGAGACCTCTCTACCTGTGCCACCTGACTCCATTTGGTCACCGGAACACCTCTATGGGCTGCCCTGGACAGAAGGAACAGTGACAGGTTCCCCTGTCCTGCATATGGGCCCCTTCTGCCACTCAAGTTGGCCAAAGCAAGGTCCCAGCAGCCTCCAAGAAGATCCCACAGCTGCTGCCCTGTCCCTAGGAACTGCTCCATTGGAGCCTGCAGTTCCCAGCAGAAATCTCGGTCACCTCTGGCCCCTCAGAAGGAACCAGGGCTTTGTGTCTGAGCAGGTCACTCCTGGCTTTGGTCTTCCTTCATTCCCATGGGAGCTGGGACAAGGAGTCACCTGCAGGGGGCTGTTTTGTGCCCACGGAAGTGGGGCAGGAGGAATCCCAGCCCCTGGAGGTTGTGGAGGGAGCTGAGTGTCCTTCTGGCCCCAGGTCTGCAGAGCCACAATGAGACACCTCTGTTGACTCAGCTGAGGCCCTTCTCTCAGTGCAGGTGAAGGAGATCCCTCCTGGGCACTGTCTGGGTTTCCTGTCTAATGATGGGACATGAAAAGGGGACTCTTGAACTTAACTCTGTGTCTGTTTGGAGAAATGACAGTGCTGAAAGAAGTGTCTGTGCCCAGCTGAGAGAAGGAACATCATGATTTCCTTCAGCTGTGTGCCAGCAGGTTCCCCTGGAGCCCCAGGGACAGCTGGAGGGAGCCCAGAGGGGCAGAGCAAGGGCTACCTGGGGCTGCTGCTGTGCTGCTGAGCTGGGCCGGGCTCCTGGCACACAGGGAGCTCCTGGTAAGCAAGAAGAGCTTCAAAGAGACAGCTCTGCTGGTGAGCAGCTCCTCTGCACAGCCCAGCAGGGCTGAGGGCACTGCCTGCAGCACCCAGGGCACAGGAGAGAAGGCAGAGAGATGAGAGGCAGCCTGGGCTGGGAGGTGACTGAGCTCTCACTACACGAGAATCCTTCCCAGGATTTGAATGAAGAAATCTCTGGCTGTAGGAAAGTTTACTTCCCTTCCTGGAGGGATCTCCTAAAGCTGGCACATCCCACAGCTTCTAGGATCTTTCAGCAGGACTCTGCCAGTTGCTGCAGAGCAGGGGACGTGGCCATATGGCAGAGCAGGGCAGGAGCTGCAGGCAGCAAGGGCAGAGAGGAGAAGGGAGCAGGAGGTTCAAGGGATCCTGGGGTGGGAGGACAGGGCAGAGCTGCTCAGGGGAGGAACCTTGCCAGCCCTTTGCCACGGTCAGGCTCTGGCTGCAGAGCAGTGCAGGGGAGTTCCTGCAAGTGCCTCTCCCAGCTGCCAAATGCCAGCAGTGGCAGGAGCTGTCAGGATGGCTCTGCTGGATTTCCTGGGGTGCAGCAGGAGAAGCTGCTGCAGAGCAGGACTTGCTGCTGCCCCATCAGAGGCCCAGGGCAAGAAGGTTCCCTGTGCCAGGGCTGGCTGTGGGCTGGGAAGGTGGGGGTGCAGCCAGGGGTGCCCAGGGCTGTGGTGCAGAGCAGGGTCCTGCCCCCAGGGCTCTGTGTGCTGGGGCAGGGACTCTGCTGCCTGCCAGGGGCAGCTCTCAACCGCAGCGTGTCTGGGATCTGCTCTGCAGCCCTTGCCCAGGCAGAGCTGCCCCTGGGCACTGGGCTGGGGATGGCTCTGGGAGCACTGGCAGGGAGCTGAGCTGGGCACAGGGAGGGGCTGCTGGCAGGAACAGCTCCTCACCCAGAGACAGGCAGGCAGGGAGAGGCAGCTGCTGCCACAAGTGCTGGGCAGGGGGATATGGGCCCCTCCCTGCTGTCCCTGTGGCACAGACCCCTTCCCTGAGCAGCTCCTCCCTGGGCTCCTTTCCCAGCCTAAGCAGAGCCTGTGCCCTCAGGCCCACGGGGGCTGGGCTGTTCATTGCCCTGCAGTATTTCTGCCATAGTATCTCTGTGCTGCACAGGATCCCCATGGAGAAAACTCCTCAATGCTAAATCCATGGAAATACTCAAGGCAGCTGCAAGGAGCATTTTGTATCTCATTCTGGAGGGAAGAGATGAAAAGGTGAGGAGTGTGTCAATCTGTTCTTTGGACATGGATTCCTGGATCTCTGTGCAGTTACTCTGGAGGGGAACAGTTGAGTGTGATGCTCCTCCAGCTCCAAGCTGCCAGCACAGGGCAGCTGAGCACAGGACTGATGGGCAGAACAGCTCTTCTCTCTGCACTAAAGGGACCGTCCCTGTGCCCCTCAGAACCCACGAGATCTGACCTGCAGTGCAATAGAAATGTCAGGGATTTCAAATATCCACAACCACTCCTAACTGTGGCAGGTGCAAGTGGGTGAACAAATACAAAGAATTCCCTCAACTCAGTCCTTCATTTGGGCAAATTGCAAACAGCAAAACTGAGAAGCTCTTTGATGTATCACGAATACACTTAATTTGAGGTCACCCTGCATTCCAAGTTTCCTCTCCCAGCAGAGCAAGAAGGAATCCTTGGGAGCCCATCACAGAGTTCCTGCTTCCAATGGTCCCCTCAACCAGTAAAAGCCACAGGTCAGGGGAGGGAGCTCCAGGGAGGTCTGAGTGAGGAGAGAGAGCCTGAGAGTGGGGTGGTTGTGAGATGTGTAATGTTTGGCTGCAGAAGCCTGGTCTAACTCAGCAGTGACTTTTCCTCCTCAACAGATCAAAATACTCTGAGGAAGGTGCAAATGTCCAACAGCAGCTCCCTCACCCAGTTTCTCCTCCTGGCGTTGGCAGACAGGCGGGAGCTGCAGCTCCTGCACTTCTGGCTCTTCCTGGGCATCTCTCTGGCTGCCCTCCTGGCCAACGGCCTCATCCTCAGCGCCGTAGCCTGCGACCACCACCTGCACACCCCCATGGGCTTCTTCCTGCTCAACCTCTCCCTCACAGACCTGGGCTGCATCTGCACCACTGTCCCCAAAGCCATGCACAATTCCCTCTGGGGCACCACAACCATCTCCTACAAGGGATGTGCTGCACAGCTTTTTTTCTTTTATTTCTTCATCACAGCAGAGTATTTCCTCCTCACCGTCATGTGCTACGACCGCTACGTTGCCATCTGCAAACCCCTGCACTACGGGACCCTCCTGGGCAGCAGAGCTTGTGCCCACATGGCAGCAGCTGCCTGGGCCACTGGCTTTCTCACTGCTCTGCTGCACACAGCCAGTACATTTTCCCTGCCCCTGTGCCAGGGCAATGCCCTGGGCCAGTTCTTCTGTGAACTCCCACACATCCTCAAGCTTTCCTGCTCACACTCAGGCTACCTCAGGGAAATTATGCTCCTTAGGGTTAGTGTCTCTTTAGTGTTCGGTTGTTTCGTTTTCATTGTTTTCTCCTATGTGCAGATCTTCAGGGCTGTGCTGAGGATCCCCTCTGAGCAGGGACGGCATAAAGCCTTTTCCACCTGCCTCCCTCACCTGGCTGTGGTCTCCCTGTTTGTCAGCACTGGCGTATTTTCTGACCTGAAGCCCCCCTCCATCTCCTCCCCATCCCTGGATCTGGCCTTGTCAGTTCTGTACTCAGTGGTGTCTCCAGCACTGAACCCCCTCATCTACAGCCTGAGGAACCAGGAGCTCAAGGATGGCATAAGGAAAATGATGACTGGATGCTTTTCACGAGCAACAACCTGCGTCTTTTCTTCGGCACAACACTCATTGTGTAACCCCTTACTGGCCCATCCTGCGTCCTAAATCTTTTGAGAATGGTGGTGGTGGTGGGTTCCTACATTTTTCCCTCTTTTAATGCTGATAACACAGAAATTTATTCTTCATCTCAAACCTAATTCACTCTCTACCTCTTTGTTTTGACCCAGAATTTTGTAAATGAGGAGTCATGCTTTGTGTGCATTTAAACAGAATAAAAGTTCCTGCAGCAACTTCTTTGTCAAACATCCTGCCTTTGCTATTCTGTACATGAGAAATCACAATCTATGAGTATAATAAAGGACTTGAATTCTTTTTTCCAGATTCTCCCTCCAAGAACTTCTCTGAAGCTGGAGGGCAGTGCCTGTGTGCAGAGGAGAAGAGGTAAAGAGTCCTGGTACAGGAGCATTGCCAGGGAGCAGCAGCTCTTGGGCTTTTCAGAGATGCTCTTTTTCCACTGCCTCCCTCTCCTTTCTGCTCCTTGCCCAAGGCCTGAGTACTCTGGCAGCTCAGTCCCTGCTGTGTGTCAGTCCTGTGACCATGGGCAGGGACAGGCCCTGGGCACTGCTGGCACAGAGCTGGGCTCCTTAACATCATTTCCATCACGAAAGGGGATCCCCCTGGGCAGTTCCTGGAGAATTTTTTCTTTTTCAAAGGTTGGTGTAAAGAACAAGGCCAAGGAATAGACTCTCCAAAGTCTCATTGCTTTGCTTGTTTCCCCATTCAGTCCCTGCAGTGAGAGAAGCAACTCACTGGGGTACTTGAGGGACTGAGGGCTGGTTCAGATGTTCTGTGCTGGTGGCCAGTGGCAAATGGTCTCCAAGTCACCTGCCTGGGGCTCTGCAGCTTGTGGAGAACTCTGAAGGCAGGTGAGGACTTGTCTGTAGGAAATCAGGAAGTGCAGGAGAGCACAGAGGATCTGCAGGGACAGCCCATCCCATCCAGTCAGCAGGGAATGGAGCCCTGGAGCAGAAGCCCACCCAGGGTGGAGTTACCAGAGATCAAGTCCTAAATCTGCCTGTGAACTGGTAAAGGAGAGTTCTGCAACCCCAGGGGGCACAGCAGGAACAGAGAAAGGGCTCTGGCCAGTGACTCGTCTCACCCGCAGTGAACTTCCCTTGTGCCTCCCCAGTTCAGGGAGGGCTGTACCAGAGCCAGGGGTGGGCTTTCCAGGAGGGTGTCCTAAACAACACTCCAGCCCACAGGCTGGATGCAGTGGAGCCCTGCCCTGCCCTTTGTGCCATTGGAAACAGCCCATGGTCCTGCCCAGCCTTGTTCTCGGCTACTGAGCCTTCCAGGACTATGGCAGAGGGTGGAGAGGAGTGATCCCCATCCTGCTGGGTCTGCTCCCCACCCTGACCAGCATGGCCAGTGCAGGGTCAGCCCAGGGTGCCACAGCCCCTCCCTCTGCAGAGCAGCACCTCCAGCTCAGGGCCCTGCAGGGATCCCAGGCTGGGATCTGCAACTGGCCAAGGCAGCCTGGACACACTGACCTGGGCAAAGGGATGTCCCTGGAGAAGAGCAAGGGAGCATTTCTGGGCCTGCAGAGAGGAATCCATGACACAGAGAAACCTCTTTCTGCAGCCCCCCCTGGGGACAGGCTGCTCTGTCCCTGGGCCAGGACTCTGTGCTGGGCTGGGCAGAGGGACTGGCACTGAGGGGCACAGTCAGGCTGTGCTGGGCATCTCCTGGAGGTGACATCAGGGCTCCTGCAGTTTCCCTGACCTCCATTTCCTCCTGCCATGCTGAGTGTGCAGCCCCTGAGCTGATGGGGATGCTGAGACTCCTCTCTGTGCCCCAGGAGCTGCTGTGCCCTTCAGAGGGGCTGGGGCTGTGGGGGGAGTGCCCAGAGCTCTGCAGCACCCTGGGCTGGGCACTGCTGTGGGGCCAAACCAGACTCGGCTGCTCCACCAGTTGACCTCTCTAATGAAATCACTTCTAATTTTCTCCTGAAGGACCATGAGAATATGTGTTGTGTCCTGAGCACTAAACTGCAACTGTGCGATGGGCCATCAAAAGGGAATGCTCAGCTGGGTCTGAAACCTGTGTCAGCCTTGGCTCCAGTAGAATGATGGAAGAGTTTTGGTAGGAAGGGATCTTTGAAATTCATCAAGTCCAATCCTCTGCAATAAGAAGAAACATCCACAACTAGATCACATTGCTCAGAGCCCCATCCAACCTGCCCTTGAATGTTTCCAGGGATGAGGCATCACCTCTCTTGGCATCTGTGCCAGTGTTTCACCACCCTCACTGTAAAAAATTCTTGGTTATATCTACTTCAAATCTGCCAGTTTTTTAGTTTAAAATAATTTGTCCTATCACACCATATCTAGGCCCTACAAAATGTTTTTCTCTATCTTTCTTAGAAGCCTCTGTGGTGGTGCATCCTCCCCCCATTCTCCTCAGGCCTGGTCGATGATCTCAGGAGCTCCTGACAAGCCTTGACCAAACCAGCTGAGCAATGAAGAGCCCCTGGACTGGACCAGGGGTGTGGTGAAGTGTCCCTGGACTGGACCAGGTGCTCCTGGATGATACAGGTGGGAACAATCCAGAGTGGAACAGTTGGGGAACACAGGATAATCAGTCATCCCATGAAAGCCTTGGAATATTCCCCGCCTGAATCACAGCCCTAATGGAACAGTTTGGATGCAATTCCCAAATATTTTGGAAACTCCAGTCATTCCTGATACCAGCAGATCACTAAAGCCAGTCACCTTGGCAGCCCACAACCAGCAGGGCTGAGGGAGGCCCTGGCAGCTCCCCAGCACCTCCCTCTCAGCGGGACACCTCTGGCAGCCTCTCGCAGCTCGGGAACCCTCCTGTTTGCAACACTCCAAAGACCGTCCCTGATGCCCAGGACAATTCTGATCCCCCTCAACAAACACTCCTCCAGCTGTGACCCTTGTCTGTTGGCAAACACAAAGGGATTTGGGGGAGTGTTTCCCTGACAACAAGGAGAATTTTGGAGAGGGACCTTTACACACCCAGCTATTGATGTGTCCACACATCTCTG